ACCCTCCCTGGCTGGCGCGGGGACGGGAGGTGACGGCGGAAGGGGGGAAAACACCCGGAAAAGGGGAAAAACACCCTAAAAAACACCCGGGCGAAGGGTTGAACACACCTGGGCAAGGGGTGAAAAAGGAAAAAACACCTGGAAAATGGGGTTACAGCGCTAAAAAAGGCATAAAAACCCTCTAAAAATAGATGGAAAAAATAAAAAACACCTGGAAAAGAGGGGGGGAACACCTGGAAAACAGGTTAAAACACCTGGGGAGGGGGTTAAAACAGCCTAAAAACAGCTGGAAAAGGGATTAAAATGAAAAAACACGATAGAAAAGGGATTAAAAAAATCCCTAGAAAAGGGATTAAAAAAAAGCAACAAAAAAACTAAAAATAGATGGAAAACAGGTTAAAGAAAACACATGGAAAAGGGGGGGGGGAACACCCTAAAAACACCCGGAAAAGGGGTTTAAAAATGAACAAACAAAAGGAAACAGAAAAGGGATTAAAAAAAAAAAATCGCTAGAAAAGGGATTAAAGCAACCCAGAAAAGGGATTTTTTAAAATAAAAAAAAAAAGCTGGAAAAAGAGACTAAAAAAAAACGGAAAAAGGGGGGGAACACCCAGAAAGCAGGTTAAAAAACACCTGGAAAAGGGGGTTAAAAACACCCTAAAAATACCTGGAAAAGGGATTTAAGGAAAAAAAAAACAACAACAGGAAACAAAAAACCAGAAAGGGGATAAAAAAATCCCTAAAAATGGGATTAAAAACCACCCAGAAAAAGGATTAAAAAAAAAAAAATCAGAAAAGGGGCTGAAAAACACCCTAAAACACTGGACAAGAGGTAAAAAACACCCCCGGAAAATGCAGTTAAACACCCCATAAACACCCAGAAAAGGGGCAAAAATACAACCCAAAAAAGGAGATTAAAACACCCCCAAAAAAACGGAAAAGGGGCTAAAAAATCCCCTGGAAAAGGGACTAAAAACTCCCAGAAAAGGGGCCAAAAAACCACCCTAAAAACACCCGGGAAAGGGGTTTTAAAACAGCCCCCAAAACACCCAGAAAAGGAGCTGAAAATCCCTCAGAAAAGGAGTTGAAAACACCTGGAAATCAGCTGGAAAAGGGGTAAAAATAAAAACAGAAAAGGGGTAAAAAAAAATTGGAAAAGGGGCTAAAAACCCCTCAGAAAATGGGTTCAAACCCCTCAGAAAAGGAGCTAAAATCACCTCAGAAAAGGGGTTCATACCCCCCAGAAAAGGGGCAAAAGCCCCTCAGAAAAGGCTAAAAAAAACTGAAAAGGGGTTAAAAACCCCAGAAAAGGGGCACAACTCTTCAGAAAAGGTGCAAAACTCCTCAGAAAAGGGGCTAAAAAAAAAAACCCCACAAAAAAACACCACAGAAAAGGGGCTCAAACCCAGAAAAGGGGGCTAAAAAAACCCCGGAAAATGGCGGCAAAATGCCTCAGAAAATGGGGCTAAAAACCCCCATAGAAAATGGGTTCAACCCCCCCGGAAAAGGGGCTAAAAACCCCTCAAATGGGGCTACAAATAATCTGAAAATGGCTTAGAAACCCCAGAAAAGGGGCAAAACTCCCCGGAAAAGGGGTAAACACCCCTCTAGGAAAAGGGGCTAAAATAACACAGAAAAGGGGAAAAAAAACCCTCAGAAAGGGAGGGGAGGAGGGGAACAACAGAAAAAGGGGGCTAAAAATCCCTCAGAAAAGGGGTTCAAAGCCCTCCAGAAAAGGGGCTAAAATCCCTCAGAAAATGGGTTAAAAACCCCAGAAAAGGGGTAAAACTCCTCAGAAAAGGGGCTAAAAAGCCCCCTGGAAAAGGGGCTCCAAAAAACCCAGAAAAGGGACTAAAACCCCCTGGAAAAGGGGGGATAAAACTCCCCAGAAAATGGGGGAAAAATGCCTCAGAAAAGGGACTAAAAACCCCAGAAAAGGGACTAAAAACCCCCAGAAAATTGGTTAGAAAAAACAGAAAAGGGGAAAACCTCCTCAGAAAAGGGGCAAAGCAGCAGAAAATGGGTTCATCCTCCCCAGAAAAGGGGCTAAAATCCCTCAGAAAAGGGGCTAAAAACATCTCGGAAAAAGGGCCAA